CCCCCCCCCCTCCAGGCGCTGTTCAAAACGGGTTCAGGGCGCCTCTGAGTTTGTCACTTCCTGTAAAGCAGAATCTCTCTTGTGGCTCAAACGCCCTTTATATCCGCTGATCCCTGCCAGCGCCTTGCTGGGTGCCTCTCGAGCTGGGGAAGGGCTGTCTTGTGGTCAGCAGGGCTGTATCGTTCTAATATGTCGGATTGGTTTGAGGCGGCCTGCGGGGAAAACTCCCGTGCCCCTGTGATTGTTTAATTATCCGAACCAATTACTCGCGGTTCCGTCGGCTTTTCGGCATTTGCAGCAGCAGATCATGTTAGGAACACGAAGTGCGATTCAGCGCCCAACCCGAGCAGTAGCTGTGGGGGTGGTTCAGGAGCACCCGTGGGCTGGCGCAGTTTTCACGCCGTGTCGCTTTCACGGCTGCAGTCCGGACACGTCGAAGCGGCACTGGCTGTGTCAGACCGACGTGGAGTACTTCCCCCGCTGAAAGCGTGGGAGAAGCCAAAGGAAGCAGGCAGGATGGTGGGGTAGATATCGGAGAGGCCGGAGGTGGAGAAGGCAGCACTGCTCAACGAGGAAAGCTCTTTGCTGTGGGGCAACCGAGATGAGTTCGGCTCGAGCGGGGAGCTGCGTCAGCACGCGTGGGCCGCAAAGGAACAAGTCGTGGTTTCTTCCCCGCTGAAGAGAGAAGAAAGGAAACGCAACGTTTCGGCTGTGGAGCCTTCTGCGGGTGTGCGGAAGGCCGAAACGTTGTTTTTCTTTTCTTCTCTTCTCTCTTCTTCTTCAGGGAAGAAACGCGGACTTGTTCCGGAATGGAACAACCCCCACGGAATCACCCCCACGGAGCCACGCGCTGGGGCGAGTGCTCCTCGCGAGTTCGGAACGCCACCGCCCTGTCTCCTGCAGCTGCGTGGGCCTGGAAACCGGACCGGTGACCAGAACTGGGGATTCCCTGATCTAGCCCGCGACCTTCTCAGGCTGCTGCTGAAAGTGGGGTGCCTGACCC